TAGATATCTTTCTAATTTTCATTCGAAAACATATGTATCTTATTTCTCATAGTTCAAGCCTATTGTCTCGGTCTTACAATCAATCGTCATAATTATTGATGTATCCGATATTGAAAACAATTAATAAAAATGAAAAATCTATTCAAAAATGTTAATTTATCAAAGAAAACCCATAATGAATTCAAATATTTCTTTGAAAAAGTAACATTTTTCCGGAAGTGCGTACTTCCCGGACTAGGTCGGGAGGATTCATATCGTTGACATTGTATATATAAAAAAACTTCGTAGATATGTTTTTGATAAATGCAGTTGATGATTACCATAGATGCGATATAAGGACTGACAACTATTTGACACGAAATTATTTGACATTTTAACATATGACATTTCTTGCAATAAAATATGGATAGCAGCAGCGACAGTGAGTTTGAAAATTTTCCTTACGAAATTTTCAAAGCAGCTGCTGTTGCTACAGCACAATTATTACATGAACAATTAATGTCCAGGTACGAAAACGTTTATGATTCGTTCCCGAAATAGATGGATATAAAGAAATGCAAAACTACTACAGAGAATGTAATTTTGGCTTACCTAGCGCAAAAATTTGAAACTGACTTGTTCGAAAAATATCGTTGTATTAGAAAATACACAATCTACAAAGCATATTTGAAGACGCTGAGTTCAAGCGAAAAGTCTGGGACTTATTCTCGAAAGTAATTTGAGATTCGAAACACACGTGAAAAAATTCATTCAAAACGCTCATGGAACTCCTAAGATTATTTATGGAAATAGAAATTTTCTTACGAAAGCAACCAAAATAATGTTATGTGATAATTTAGTTTTGTCTACCCTGAATTTTGCTGATTCACTGTACGGTCCCTGCTTAACGAAAGCATATGAGAGAAAAATCCAAAAGATTCAGAATTCATGTTTACGTCTCATTAATGGGGTTCGAAGGCGAGAAAGTATTTCCAATAAATTGGTTGAAACGGGTTGGTTAAATATGGCAATGCGTAGGCGGTTGCATTCAGCGTGCTTATTTCACAGAATAATCATAACGAAGATTCCAATTTACTTATATGAAAAACTTTAAATTCGAACAGATGTTCATACAACCAATATTCGATTTGAAGGTATTTTAACACCACCAATTCACCATCACGGATTCTTTAAACGGTCCTTCAGTTTTTATGATCTTATGATGCACTGTTTGGAACCTTTGGTGTAGTAATAGAGATACCCAGCTACAAACTCGTATAAAATTGTATTTGGACATCCTGATAGTATAGTTTATTGTATGTTTTTTAAAGGGTTTTACAAAAACCGCGACACTTGTTTCGCTATACAATAGCTTTTTCAAGCATAACCTCTATGCTTGAAGAAAATAAGCTATATTGATTAGTATCGGCCAGTTCTATTCAATTATCCTAATAGTTAATAATAAATGCAAATTATAGATAATTATATATTTATCATTGATGAATAAACTTTATATGGCGTGTTTTTAACAAAAATTGTAGGGAATTCAATCCTCTACAATATTCATAATAAATATAAATAGCGGAAAACCCCATAGAAAACTAGGTATTTACAAAAAATGTACAAAAAATCGATTTTTGGGACCTTTGACCTTAGATTTTAATAGTCGCGTACACCCTACCGTATGTAGGTTTTGAGACAACTTTTTGGATGTCAAAATGGCAACATTATGTGAGTTTATAGCTGGGTATCTCAAATTCCTACATACTTACCTTATTTTGACTAAGATGACTGGATTAATAGTAAGCTGCTGCTTTATGTTGATGAGGGTGATTAGAATGGTTATTGATATTTGTTTCTGTAGGGGTTGGTTTCTGGTAAATTGCGAAATAATGTTTGTTGTTGATTTTTCTAATTATTCAAATTTTTCTAAAATAATAATTCTATCGAATCATTGGTTTCTGGTTTTATTGTGAATTTTATGTATTAAAAAATGACGCCGATGTGTTCTTATCAACATACCTATACAAATAAATGAATTTTTGGAGAAGTAGATGTTGCTGAAGAGTTTCTTCAAAAGTGGCCATGAAAATTTCAGCGAGGAGGGGGCTTATAGGATTATGAGGCCTT